AAATCAAATTTTTTTTTAAATATAACCCCTCCCTTCCTACAAAAACCAGGTATTTATCGGGCTTTTTTTTTTTTTTTTTTTTTTTTTTTTTTTTCTCCTTTTTGTCTTTTTTCGTGTCCGGCAACGGATCGCAACCCTCAGTGTCGCCCCCGTACCGGACCGGGACCGGCAACGGGATCGCAACCCTCGGGCCGGCCCAGTTATCGGACTTTGTGTCCCGACACCGCCAGCATCAAGAGGTGGGAACACTATTAATTTGACCCATTGCTTTGGCTTTGTCAGTGATTTTATTTAGGAATTAAAGGCTTTCTACATTTATTTTATGGTTAAAGATATTATGGACAGAAACAAAAATATAAAAAAAGATGAATTATACTTATGTGGCATAAGTAAGGTTTATATTAAGTAAAAGCCTCAAAAAAGAAGAAAACAGTGGTCAATCGAATAAGGCACTGTAATTCGAAGTGACATTGAGAGAAAGGTCAAAATTCAGAGTATCCCATTTAAATTTTAACTAAAATCTCTGTACTTAAAATGTGAACATATACTGACTACACAGAAATTATTTAGGGAGCTTAATCTCACTAGTCTGAAACAACTGCAATTGTTATAAAATTATGTTCCCTATCCCTGTATAAGGCTTTAAAAGTAGGTATAAACTTCAGGAAAACAAGCCTTTAAAAACCATAATTGTTAGTGTTATACAGTTACACATATTGTATTTTATAGCACCGAGGTACAGGAATGCTGGGCCCTAATGAGTCTAAAAAGACTTTTGAGCAATTTTCACTTTGTATGGATTAGAGAGTATTAGTGGGGCCCACATGGTCTTCTATAAATCAGAAGAAGATCAAACAGAATGGTCTTTGCAGCAGGACAGCAGCTCTGGGATGGCCTTTCTAACTCGACGATTCAAGTCAGTGGAGAAGAGCTGCCCCTAACAGCCTCAGGGGACTCAGAGGTGTCAGAGCTCTGTTCCCACAGCCTCCATTGGGCTGAGATGAATGGACTCAGCCATTCAATCATAAGCACATTGGCAACAATGATTCCAATCTATCTGTTGTCAGGAGGGTTTTAATATCAAGGTCACAGAAATTTCAACCACAATTTTTATTTCATAGAACTCTCAAAAGAGTAACTGAAGAGCTGGAGAAACATGTACTCCAGATGTGAGCAAGCCTGAGAATATGAATCAACGCCGAGGAAAAATCTGCTGGCGAGGCTGTGATTTTACTCTCCTAAAGACAGTCACCAAAGCCAGAGCCAAAACCAACTTCAGACACTGACCAGCAGGGTATTTATGGACTAGAGCATACAGTGGTGGTGAAAAACTAAAAAAAACCCAACAAAGCAAAAAAACAAACAATACCCTCCCAAAACTCAACTGTTTTTCTCTTTGAAGTTTTCTAAAAAAAATATATTTGCATGCTCTCAAAAATTCAGTTTGTTGTTGGTCTAAACATCTTACTTAGCCTTAGGGAGCACTATCCTCTACAGATTCCTTTTGGTGATTCTGGCATGAGTGGGGTAGAAATTGTCCGGAAGGGTTGCATGAGATCTTTTTCATCTGAAAAGCGTGGGCTGAGCTTTGCTGAATTCTGGCCATTCAAATAGTGCCCCCACCCCACCCCACCCCACCCGCAGGCACTGGCAGAGAGACTTCTATGCTAATGTAGTACCTGCCATTCCTGGTATCATGTTGCCGCATGTTCTTGATAAAATGAATCTTCTTAAAATTCTTTGGTCTGGGCGAACCTGAGAGAGTTCGGCATCTGGGAAAAAAAAGACATTGTGAAAACACAGTCAGTTGCCCGCCGGACAGCTGAGACATCTCCATACAAAGACAGGAAGACCAGACAAATGGTTTGAGTCACCCCCAAAGCAGGCAGGAGTCGGCAGAGATAATGAAGACAATGCAGCTGGAAGAAAGGAAGTTTTAAAAAAACCCAATGACAGACAACTTCCTCGATAACACTGATAATATTTTATATGGGTCTCTGAAACGCTAGCTAATGAAAACCATTGTCCCAGTTACAGTAAAAAAAACCTACACAGATTCCAAAGGCATTATTTGTTATTGTCATCTTAAAAAGAATCCTCCTGTAAGATAAAGGGAAGAGAAAACTATAAATTTAAAAGGGGCGGGGGTCATACTGAAAAATTCAGTTAAAAAACAACCCTGAGTCATTTTTCTTCTGTAGCAGGATTTTGGCCTCAATCACCTGGACAGCTGCCTCAATTCTCAACTTGACTATGCCTGGGAAACTGCAGCTGTAAACTGAGTAAGAATCAGAGACCCAGCTAGTTGCTGCTGTTTTTTTTTTTTTTTTTAAAAGATAAATTTTAAATAAACATTTGTTGGACTAAAGTGAGACTCAAAATATTCTTTTTTTCCTGGAATATATGACATCCACGTGCACTATAGCACTGGCAAAACAGACCACAGGCCAAAGAAATCTTGGTTGTATACTGTGTTTCAAAGATACTGGCAGATTGTAAACTACAAAACTGTAACAACAATAAAAAAGCAAAAAACTCAACAAACGAGTCTGAAGTTTGGTCTTTTCTTGATAAAGGGAGCTATGACTTTTCTATTTTGTTTTTTGTTTTCTGACCGTGGGCCCCAAGAGCTGGCTCCTGCCATGGGATGTGGGTACCCACGACCTTATGCTTCAGAAGGCAAGGTCCAGAGAAGCAGTGCCCTGTGTCCCAAAACACACATTGACAGCTGGGCTGGGACATCAAATTTAGTCAATTTTGAATGTTGAGGCTTCAGGTAAAGAAGTAGCAATATGATCCAAACAAGGAAGCACGGTTAAGGGGAAGGCGGGATGTTGGGGCACGTTTGAGAATCGCACTGAGGAATGGGCAGGGTTACAGACCTGCACAGCAATGCCAATCTTTACTCTCCCCCAAGGGCCCCTTTCGAGGGGGGTTAGGCCCAGTACGTTTCCTGCCACCCGTCTGTCCCCAACCCACCCTTCCAGTAAGGGTCAGGCTTCCTAAAAGCCCTTTCCCAGAGAGCACCGAAAAAAATTTTTCCTAGGAAACAGCACCTTAAGATACACTTAAACTCGGGCCGGCCCGGTGGCGCACTGGATAGTGCGCCGCTTGGGAAGCGCGGCAGCGCTCCCGCCCAAGGGTTCGGATCCCACATACAGACCGGTTCCCGCTCACTGGTTGAGTGAGGCGCGGGAGCAACACCGAGGGTTGCGATCCCGTTGCCGGTCCCTGGTCCGGTGCGGGGGCAACACTGAGGGTTGCGATCCGTTGCCGGACACGGAAAAAGACAAAAAAGACAAAAAAAAAAAAAAAAAGATACACTTAAACTCAAATAACCCTAAAGTAAACGGATTTAGACCAAAACAAACGCATGATATCGGGCATTTATTTGGGGGCTTTCATCAGGAAAAAGGGGTTCCATGGGCCGTGGGCCAGTGGAGGAAAGCCCCACTTCTGGTCATTGTCCAATACACTAGAGAAAGAAACTTCAGCAGAAACCACAGACCTCCTGGCCTCTACCTGGAAATTCACTACCAACCCTCATCTACCACATTATTATTTCAGCCCTCCCTGCTGTTGATGTGCGGCTTAAATATGAGGATTAAAGACGATGATGTATATGAGCTTCGCAAACTGTCAAGTGACACATTCAAAAACAATATACGTACGTGTAAACATTCACTTGCAAATTTCAAGTGTTGTTATTATTAAGAAATCAGCCCTACAAAAGTGCCTATTTTGTTACTATTTGCCTCCAAATTCTTAAAACTGCAGCCCTAAATAAAGTTCCTGGATTCTAGGCTTTAAAGGAAGATTCCTTTTAAAAACTTGCGAAGCCCTGTTAGAGGACATTAGTAAATGCTTCCTGTGGACTCCAGGCAAGATTAGAAGAGGGGACAGTGTCCACCAATCCTCCTCCCTACCCCAGGCTTCCAAACCGTGATTTAACTGGCTTGGGATTCTAGGGGACAGAGCCTCACTCTGCCTTCTTGGGACCGCTCTCTGGAAGCAGACCCAGAACCCCAAACTGCCACCAGGATACCTGCTTGAGTCTGCAGGCCTCTCAAAGTTCCCAACTGTCTCTCTCATGCACAGAAAATTCTAGAAACATGGGGTCACTGGAGAGAAGAGAATTTACACTTTCAGTGTTTTCTGGATAGAGCCAAGGGCACAAGAATGTCTTCATACCCTTACTCCTCTTCCCCACAAAAGTTGAGTTTCCTGGGCCAGCCAGTCTGACAGTGAGCAGGTTCAAGCAGCTCACAGATCCTGCCACTTCAGCAAACTCATACCTCCCTCCTCCCACCTCCCAGCTGCGAGAAGCTGGTACTGATGCCAGCACAGAGGAGAGACAACCCCAAGCTGTCCCTGCCTCCCATGCCTGCAGAAAGAGAGGCACTAAATTCCTCAGCCATCTGCTGGAACTGGAAGTCAGCAAAAGGGCCACAGGTGGCTGTCCACACCAGTAGAGGAAGGAGGCAGCTGCTGCAGCCACCAGCACCCACCAACCCAGAGTCTGCAAACCCAGGCAGGTACTGATGGCCGTCACATCTGCCACACACAGGCCAAGGCTTTCTCTGACACCTGGTAGAGATGTCCCAACTCCTCATTTCTAGGATACCAAGTAGGGCAGGTGGAAAACTCCTCAGTCCAAGTCCTGTCACTGTAAATGCTCAGTGATGCACAAGAGAAAAAAGAGAAAAGTAAGACTTTTAACAGGATAACTCAACAAAGGTCCTTTGTTTCGATATCAGCACCCAAGCACCCAATTCTAACTGTACACCCTACGAATGTAGCCCTTCATTCAGCAAGCTGTTGTCTTTTTTTTTTTTTTTAAAGCATTCAACTAAACCACCAGGGAATCTAAGAAATGCTTTAAGAGAACTGTGGTGTTAGCAACAATTGCCAAGGAAACTGGAATACAGAGTGCTGAGGTTGGGGCAGGTTATGCAAAGAACGAATTAATTTCAAAGCCTCCTGCATTAACGTGTAAATATCCATTTAAAAACATGCATTTTAAGTGATGCGAAATTAAATTAGGATAGAATTAAATTAAGAACTAATTTAATGAAAGATTAGCTTCTTCTTGTTAGCACTGATTACAGGATACACCTAATTATGTGAAAGGTTTAATAGATGCCTTAAAACCATTTGTTCTCTGTGCTAAGCTTAAACGCAAGTTGAGCTAATAGCCTTCCACCCCCACAGTTCCCAAAACTCTTCCATGTCATTATTGGTACCTTCATTTCATACACTGTCAAGGATCTCAGCAATTAGCTGACTCAGCCCTCCCATTTTACAGATGGGAAAACCGAGTCCCCAGGGACACTAAGTGAATTTCCAAGACCACATGACCAGTTAGAAGAGTCAGGCCAAGAATCTGGTCCCTTTACTTCCAAATGAATGGCTTTTCTTCTACACCATGTTAATTTTATTTCCTACAAACAAGTCAATTTCTTTCTTTTTGATGAACAAGTCAACTTCTAAGTAAATACGAGAACTCTTTAAATTAAAAAAAAGTCCATATGGGGAATAAAGACTAAAACTGACCAAATTCTTTGATTTCTGACTTATTTGTATTTCTTACAAAGGTTTATATTTACACAAGATAGTTAAAATCCAGGATGGTCTGTAAGTAAGAGGTGGACGAAGTCACGGTTAAGGCAGGTAACCATTTTTCCTTTGCTGCTTTTGCCACCCCAGTGCTGAGGAGTAGAGGGGAGAGGACCGATCTGGCTGGCCAGTCGGGGATTCCAGGAGGAGGGGGCAGAGATGACAGAGCACTGGCAGGAACACAGAGCCCAGGTCTGCCTCAGGCCACCCGTTAACCACCTTGAGACACATGACACCTGCACTGAGCCTCAACAACCCTGTCTGGGAATCCCCAAGGAGGGATTTCTTAGCCTGTACCACCCTAGATCTCCTGGTTTCCTCCACTCATAATCACATACTGCTCCAATGACTGTGGCTTCTAGCAGCCTCTGAAATACCAGGGGCTTTTCAGCTGTCCTCATTGATTTTCCCATTTGTGGCTGGCGTGAAGGAGGGTCTTGGTCAGAACTGGACTCACCTGCTCTAAAGTCAAAGCCACTTGGTGCCTCCTAGGAAAATTTGTCTTCCACTCTCAGTGATTGTCTCAACCAAAGCCAGCTCCCTAATTTGACATTTAATGTGGCTTTCTGTATGACTCCTGCAGGGAAACAGTCTTCTCCCAATATTTAATAGTGCCTCCTAGGACACTTGTACCCAAAGCCACATTCACCATGCAGGTACAGCCATTCATCCTGAAATGCTCCCAGAGGGTAAGCATGTTTCCAAAAAGACGTGAAAAGTGAAGATCGGACTGTTTGGCCCTGACTCTCTCTTTGGAATGACACTGGTGACACCACCATTGCATGACGCGTTTGGTCAGACCCCAGACCTGGTTGTGCTCACTTGCCCTCTGCAATTCATGCATGCAGAGCTGGTAGACACAACCTCTCAGCTGGGAGTGAAGTTACAGGCGGGGAAGGTGCCATCCTCAGGGTGAAACTCCTCTCTCTACAGCAGCATCCTCCCAGGCTCCAGGGGATGATACGGACTCCCGAGTGCTGGCCAGTGGCCACAGTACCTTGGGCACAGACGCAGGTTGGAGGGGAGCCAATGCAAGCCCAAGGAGCTCACATGCTCACATCCTCCCATGCACCCCTCCCCCTGCCACCTCCTGGCAGTCTCTGGGAAACCCCAGAGTCTCATCTTCCCTGGCTCCTCCTGCAAGGCGGAGGCCCCACACAGCTCGGGCTGGAGTGGGGATGAAAGATGTAGGCCCTGAGTATTTTCTCCTCCATGAGGAGGACCTGGCTGGACCTTGGCACAGATGTGAGCCAGATGGGGAGGGCAGGATCAGAGGCCGGGAACCTGCCAGTCACAGGCACAGCACAGCTCAGCAATTGCTGTCACCCAATAAGATGCCTCACGAGCACTTTCCTAATTCCAAGGAAGAAAGAGAACACTTTCAGACCCAAGGAAGCACTCCCAACCATCCTAATCAGGTTTCCCCAGCAAGGAGCAAGAGCGAGTCATCACAGTCAGCTCCTAAGGAACTCTGGCTGGCCCTCCTGCTGATAATGAAGTCCTGGACCCAAACTA